TTGACTTGACTTGACTTCACATTGACTTGACTTAAATTAACATTTACTTATCCTTGACTTGACTTGACTTGGCTTGACTTGACTTGACTTGGCTTGTATTGGCTTGACTTGACTTGACTTGACTTACATTGACTTGTATTGGCTTGACTTGACTTGACTTGACTTGTATTGGCTTAACTTGACTTGACTTGACTTACATTGACTTGTATTGGCTTGACTTGACTTGACTTGATATTGACCTGACTTGACTTGACTTTGACTTGACTTAATATTGACTTGTCTTCACATTGACTTCACTTGGTTGACTTGGCATTGACTTTACCTTGACTTGACTTCACATTGACTTAACTTAAATTAACATTTACTTATCCTTGACTTGACTTGACTTGGCTTGGCTTGTATTGGCTTGACTTGACTTGACTTGACTTACATTGACTTGTATTGGCTTGACTTGGCTTGGCTTGACTTGAGTTGGCTTGACTTGACTTATTTTGATTTGTATTGGCTTGAATTGACTTGACTTGATATTGACTTGTCTTGTCTTGTCTTGTCCTGACTTGACTTACTATATTAGCTTGAGTGAGAGCCGATTCTGACAAGGCAGATAATCAGACCCAGCTTTACGAGCTTGACTATATTAAAGTGCTCTACAGTGCGTCCTGTGTTTATGATCTGTATTGTTGATGTCTCTCAGCTGATGTTGACTTCTGTGTTTGTGCGCAGATTGTGTCACGCCGTCCTATTTTCCTCTGCGTCAGACGGATGGATTGGAGCGGGGCCGGCTGGTGTTTGAGGTGGAGGAGTTTGTGCCGTCCATCGCTAAATGCTCTCAGCCGTTCACCGTTTACAACAATCACCTGTACGTTTATCCACGGCAGCTGAAATACGACGGCCAGAAGACCTTCACCAAGGTAAGAGGGGTTTTCTCAACCTTTTATTCTGAACTGATTTTGTTTGATAGTGCAGTATTAGAGAAATGCTAAAACTGACATGTATAAAACAATGGGCTTGCATCCATCAGAGAGAAAAGAACTCTCAGCTACTCTTCTCTGATTGGTCAGATGGCCCAGTCTGTTGTGATTGGTCAGAAATCAAACATGTATTACTGTATATTAAGTAAAAAGTAACTGATTCTGGTTCCACAGCAGTCAGTCATTGTTAATAGATGCTGTAAAAGATCGTTTCCCCCAAACTGAAGCCTGCCGTTTTAGATTAGAAGCAGAAGTAATGTACTGTATGCTTTCCTCGTTTGTTTACAGGCTCGAAACATTGCTCTGTGTGTGGAGTTCAGAGATTCAGATGAAGAGGATGCTCTGCCACTGAAGGTATCACACACACACACACACACACACACACACACACACACACACACACACACACACACACACACACACACACATGTGCAACTCATAGCAAGAAGGTCACTGGTTCGAGTCTCGGCTGGGTCAGTTGGTGTTTCTGTGTGGAGTTTGCATGTTCTCCCCGTGTTGGTGTGGGTTTCCTCCAGATGCTCTGGTTTTCCCCCACAGTCCAAACACATGCGCTATAGAGGGATTGATTAACTAAATTAGCCATAGTGTTGTAGTGTGTGTGTGAAAAAGTGTGTATGGGTGTTTCCTAGTACTGGGTTGTGGCTAGAAGGGCATTCGCTGCATAAAACAAATGCTGGATAAGTTGGCGGTTCATTCCGCTGTGGTGACCCCTGATTGATAAAGGGACTAAGCCAAAAACAAAATGAAAGAATATACAAAAACACACACATACACACACAAATACACACACACACACACACACACACACACGCACATACACACACAGACACACATATATACAAAAAAACATTTGCACACGCAAACATATATACACATACATATACACATATATTCACTGACACACACACACACAAACAAATGCACATACAGAAACACACACACATAACTGAACTCATTTAGCGTAGTTATATGAAGGTCTAATGCGCTCAAAACCTGCCGGAACTACTTCAGCTGTGTGTTGATCTGAATCTGGAACAGTCCAGCAGGACACATTAAAATAATCTTCCACAATATTACAGCCTTTACTTTTAGCACGGAATGTTAGTGTATTACGTTTTCTGTAAAGCTGAATGGCTGTGTCATGTGTGTTTGTGTGTGTGTGTGTGTATGTGTGTGTTTGTCTGTCAGTGTATATACGGGCGTCCTGGCGGGCCGCTGTTCTGCAAGAGAGCGTTTGCTGCAGTGTTACATCATCAGCAGAACCCAGAGTTTTATGAAGAGGTGAGCTCTGTGTGTGTGTGTGTGTGTGTGTGTGTGTGTGTGTGTGTGTGTGTGTGTGTGTGTGTGTGTGTGTGTGTGTGTGTGTGTGCGTATGTGTGCATGTGTTTAAGTGTGTGTATACGTACGTATTTGTGTGTGTATAAGTGTGTGTGTGTGGGTGTGTTTATATATATATATATATGCGTTTATTAGTGTGTATAAATGTGTGTGTATATATATATGTGTGA